GCCTCAGGCTCGCCCTTGTTCATTTATTAAATAAACTTTTACTAAATACCTTCAGAGGTCCAAGCAGTGTACTGGGCACTTGTATAGAGAGCACTGATTCCTGCTATAGTGGAAGCAGGATAAGTGGTGTCCCTGCAGAACATGGAGAAGGAAATCTTCTGGGAAAGTCAGGGAAAGTGTTCCTTCAGGAAGTGATAACTGAATAAGGGGTGAACAAGTGTTTTCCAGGAAGACATGGGGAGGGAGTCCCTGGCAGCGGAACAGCATCTGCAAAAGCACAGAGAAAGACATGGCAGAGTGAGGGAATGATATCCTGGGACACGGGGTGATATCCTGGGACACGGGGTGTGCCCAGTTGGGTTTAGAAGTGAGACCAGAGAGAATAGTAACAGTATTTTGTTACTGTGTCCATTGGTACCACACCCAGTATATCATTTCTAAGATTCAAGAGTGGTACAGCACAGAGGAAGGTATGGGCTTTGCAGTCAGACTTCCTGAGCTCAACTTCTGAGTCCCATAAACACTAGTTCTGTAACCCTGGGCAAGCTGCTGGCATTTCCTCCTCTGTAAAATGAGAGTACTCACAGTTTAATCTCTAGGGCTGTTGTGTAGATACAGCAGGCTGATTGCTCCTGTTCTGTGACTGCTCTATGTCCTTTGCAAGATCAAAACAGATAAAATTTAGACGTGTTTGTGCATTATCTTCCATAGGGTCATTATCATCATCACCGACATTGTCATCATCCCACAATACATTGATAGAAGAGGCTGCATTTTATTGTATTTGTATTTATTTATTTATTTTGAGACAAGGTCTCACTCCAGTTGACCAGTTTTGAGTGCAGTGGCACAATCTCGGCTCACTCCAACTTCGACCTCCCGGGCTCAGATGATTCTCCCACCTCAGCCTCCTAAGTAGTTGGGACCATAGGCATGCACCACCATGCCCAGTTAATTTTTTGTATTTTTAGTAGAGACAGGGTTTTGCCATGATGCCCAAGCTGGTCACAAACTCGGGGCCTCAATCAATACACCTGCCTTGGCCTCTCAAAGTGCTAGGATTACAGGCTTGAGCCACTTTGCCCAGATGAAGAGGCTATTTTTGTAAGTGCCTTCCAGCTGTGTGTAAGTAGCAATGAACTAGCTGGAAAGAAAACCCCAGGCCATGTAGCTCAAGAAGAGACACAATACCTTGACATAGGTAATACACGGATTTGATGATTTTTAAAATAAAGTAAGTGAGGTTGACATCTGAGGAAAAGTGTTTTCTCTTCCTTCCAAATGCTAGAGTGCTGAACTTAGTATTTTGTTTCTGGGCGCATTCTCCCAACCTCATCTTCACTCCCCTCAAATTGAAAAATCATATGAGGAGATAGATTCAGGAGACGAATCCCAACAACATTAATAAAACAGATGGATTACTTGACCTATGAATATATTGAGAGAATATTTTAACTTCTGGCAACCAGCTTAGGACTGAATCACTGATTAGTATATAGAAAAGTAAACCATTCAAAGATCATGGCAATTATTAACGCATGGGAAAATAAAAACTTGCTCAAGGATGGAAACATAGTCTTTTTTTTTTTTTTTTTTTTTTTTTTTTGAGACGGAGTCTGGGTCTGTCACCCAGGCTGGAGTGCTGTGGCCGATCTCAGCTCACTGCAAGCTCCGCCTCCCGGGTTCACGCCATTCTCCTGCCTCAGCCTCCCGAGTAGCTGGGACTACAGGCGCCCGCCACCTCGCCCGGCTAGTTTTTTGTATTTTTTAGTAGAGACGGGGTTTCACCGTGTTCGCCAGGATGGTCTCGATCTCCTGACCTCGGGATCCGCCCGTCTCGGCCTCCCAAAGTGCTGGGATTACAGGCTTGAGCCACCGCGCCCGGCCTGAAACATAGTCTTGATATATAACACGGCTCGGTTGTGAAAAATATTCACCTAGTTATATTAACGCAGAAGTTGAATATGTTTCTATCAAAACTTACTCTATAATTATAGTGCAAGGATGTAGAAGGGAAAATGTATGTATGTGAGTCAGACAGGCAGGAGAGGACAAAATACGTGTAAATGCTAAAGCTGAGAACTCAAAAGAGGACACTTGAACATGTTATTTAAAAATATGGAGGCAAACACCAGAAGAAAATAAAAAAAAAAGAAAAGAAAAGAAAAACAGTGAAAAGAGTTGAAAATGATTACTTCTAAAAGGAGCAGAAACAGAGGTTACTATTTTTCACAATAAACCTTCAAAGGTATAGTTTTTTTCACTATAAAACCTATGCACATGTATGAATTCAATAGAAATAAATATGAACTCTTTCAAAAAGCATGAAGAGAACAGTGTTCAGTTTGAAGTGTTTGAATCAAGGGCTGCATGGAAGGGAATATCAAGATATTAAACCAGTGAATTTTGGTTGAGCCCATTGTGTAGGGCTTCAGAAGGCAAGGAAAAGATGCACATTTTTAAGCGAAGGAGCGATAAGGTCACATTGTACTCTGGAAAAATTTGTATATAAGTTCACCCTGCAGGAATTAGGAAAAGTTTAAAAACAGGGAAGTGAGTGTGCAAACTTTTGCAAATAGTTCTGGCAAGCAATAATGACTTGCAGAACCAAAGCAGTGGATATGGGCATTGAGATAACAAAACAAAACATAGATCTGACTGATACATGTGAGGTGGGCTTGTCTTGTCTATTTGAGGAGTGAGGAGGGCAAAGTGAAGCCAGGTTTCTGGCTTAGCAGACTGGGAGGATGGGGGTGCCAATACTCAAAATGGAACTTCACAAAGAAAAGCAGGTTCTTAGAGGTGAGGCCAGGGAGGAAAAAATGGTGAGTCTGTTTCTGTACATATAAGAGGTGACTGAGGGACATCCAGAGAAAGAGCTAGTAAATGCCTACCAGGAGAGCAAGATGGAGAAAGGGCAGCTATCAAGCGACCTGGGAGTCCCTGGTTATATGTGGTGATGGGTCAGGAGGCCATCACAATGTCCAAGTGAAATGTATGGTGTGAATCAGAGCAAAGTCTTGGCTCTGGAGAATAAACATTTTAAAGAAATAATCAGTAGGACAAAGGCCAAAAAAGACAGAGAAATGTCAGCTGAGAAATAGGAGAACTAGGAGAGAGTGTCATCACCAAAGCCATGGCAGATGAAAAAAGGAGTGTGTGAATAGGTCCAAAGTCCTCAATAGAAGTCAAAGATGGACAAGGAGGACATCAGTGACCTTAATAAGGTATTTATAGAGATGGAAGATGAGCCTGATTGAATTGGTTAAGTGAACAAACGTTGATTAAGTAGATACACAAAGCATGGCAGTGCCTTCAATACATTTGATGGAAAAGAGAAGAAAGAAAATACAGCATGTAGTGAAAATCCATTTATTTTTGCTGTCCAGTGCCCCTCCCTTCCTTCTGGCTACACCAAACCTGCCTTCTTTTGAAGAACTGCTCTACCCTCCACTCTTAGCACAGGGGTCTGAAAATGTTGCAATCATGGTACCCATCACAGGGTAGCATGTAGCCCCAGAAAGGTTGACTGGAGTCATCCCTGAGGATGATTCCACTGGAAATAAAAGTTGGTCATTCCTTTCCAGTGGCAATGCTGAAAAGATATGACCCTGGGAGACACCCACAGCCATGTTTCCAGATTGGTGGAGAAACAGTCCGGGTGAATGAAGCCACACAGAGAAAAGCAGATATGTATAAGACAGAGACAGGGAATCCTCTGGAGCCCCTCAGGGGCCTGAGCCACCCTCAGCTGTCTTTCCTGAAGCCTGGCTGCTTGTTTGACTTTCACTTCAGCTGTCTGAGCCACCCTGGGACCCATCCTACCAATCCCTCTTGTGCTTAAATTCATTCAGGTTGCTTTTTCTGTCACTTGCTACCAAAATAAATAAAATAAAATAAAACCTTATAGAGAATGGTAACTTGTAGGAAAGGCAGGTTGGGAAGATAGATAGATAGATAGATAGATAGATAGATAGATAGATAGATAGATAGATAGATAGATAGAAGATAGAGAGAAAGAGAGAGATGATAGATAGCTCAATCAATAGCTAGACAACGGATATACTATTATATGAAGATATTTATATCTGTCTCTCTATATGTTTAGGTAGTTATAGATGTATTGAGGGAAGTAGCATTGTTTGAAAGCAGAGGCAAATGACTCAGAAAATGGAAAGGTTGATCATATAAGGAAAGAGGATGGATGCTAGAGCTTCCAGGGTAAGTGGGATGAGATGGGACTGCAAGCTCAGGTAGAGGGGGTAGTCCCTCTGAGACAGAAAGCAAGAACAGAAACAGCTTAATATGGTTTGGCTGTGTCCCCACCCAAATCTCATCTTGAACTGTAGTTCCCATAATCCCCATGTGTCATGGGAGGGACCTGGTGGGAGGTAATTGAATCATCTGGGCAGTTACCTCCATGCTGTTCTCATGATAGTGAGTGAGTTCTCATGAGGTTTTATAAGGTACTGTTTCCTTGCTTCTCTCTGCACTCCTCCTTGCTGCCACCATGTGAAGAAGGATGTGTTTGCTTCCCCTTCTGCCATAATTGTAAGTTTCCTAAGGCCTCCCCAGCCCTGTGGAACTGTGAGTCAATTAAACCGCTTTCCTTTATAAAGTACCCAGTCTCAGGTATGTCCTTATAGCAGTGTAAGAACAGACTCACAAAGGTAAATTCAGTGGGGGAAAAACTTGAAGAAATTCAGCCCCATGCTACATTTTCTGCAAGGTCATTTCGGAAAAGTAGGGGATGGTTTTAAGGTAAGTGAGTCCAAGGAGAGGAGAAATCACTTCAAACCACTGCCCTGAGCCATGAGAATGGGAGCTGGCTAGGAACAGGAATCCAAGTCTCAGTTTCCTCATCTTTAAATACCATACCATGGCACAGTGCAGCGATGTGTGTGAAAGTTATCATCTG